CATGATGGTTTACAAAGCCGTTGTCACATGTTTGATCTGATTTAAGCCTCAGTTCAATCTTTTGAGGGAGGTGCTATTACTGCCCCATTTTCCAGGTGAGAAAACATGGACGGAAAGCCTCTCAGGTAACATTCCAGGATCACCTTGTGAGTGAGAAGTGAACTGGTGCATTCATCTAGATTTTCTGATTCCAAATCTCCAGCGCTTTCCCTCTGTTTCCCACACCTTGATCTAGACATTTGTAATAATAACTCTGTGGTTTATAAACAAAGTAGAAGAAATAATTTCAGGGTGGTGGTGGGGGGAAGGGTCTTAATTTTAAGGAGAGGCTACATAAAATAGAAAAAATATATTCTCACATTTGGGAATCTGTGCTAACTTAATTATCAGTGTTTCAGTTCAAGATTTATGTAGAAGGACATTTATTTCAATATGATTTATAATTGTTAAAATCAGAAATGATCTAAATAGTTAGCAATAAAGACTGTGTTACTATATAATAAAGTGTATATATACTCAATATTACGTAGATATTAAAATAAAGTATAAAGTACGTATACACTGAATATTATATAGATACTAAATAGGAAGTTTTTAATGGCATGGACTCCTGCTTGCCATATAAAAAAAATTGGTCAATAAATTGTATTTACTAGATGCTATATGATTGGAAGGAAATATGCCAAAATATTGGCATTATTTCTCTTTGCATTGAAATATTATTCAATATTATTTTCTTTATTTTTTTGTGATACTTTCTAAGTTTTCTACAAATTAGTATGCTACTTTTATAATGTAAAAGGCAGTTTCTTTAATAAAAATAGGGAATCAAAGAAAGAAACTGATTTTGAAACTCGGATCATATTTTGGCTTCCCCATCATTAGCCGTGGAAGATCAGGCAAATGACTTATGTAGGCTTTAGTTTCCCATCTGCAAAATGAAGGAATGAGCACAGATTTCAGCATTGCATTAAATTAACTTAGGTGCTGTGGTATTGACAGAAATCCCCTGTACTGTCTATGATTTCTGAATGGGAATTTTATAAATCCGACATACGCACACTGAATATTTGTAGTTCCCAGGCGTAAATTCAAGACAGCTCCAGAGTTCCAGTATAAGTGAGGTTTTAGGGCAAGAATCTGGTTGGAAGTTTGGTGAGGGCACGTCAGGGGCTTGTCCAGAGGAGTCGCCTGGTACTTTAAGTACACTTAAGAGAATGTCATTTTGCCGTATCGTGATGATACGGTTTGAATGTTTGTCCCCTCCAAGGGTGATGTTGAAATTTAATTGCCATGGTAACAGTATTTAGAGGTGGGGTCTTTAAGAGGTGATTAGGCTATGAGGGCTGCATCTCATGGGTGAGATTGGTGCTTTTATAAAAGGGCAAGTTCAGTCCCCTCAAGCCCTCTCTGTCATCCTATTGCCTTCTGCGCGGTAATGACATGGCAAGAAGGCCCTCACCAGATGCTGGCACTTTGATATTGGATTTTTCAGCCTCCAGAACTGTGAGCCAGTAAGTTTCTATTCATTGTAAATTACCCAGTCTCAGGTATTTGCATGCAAAGTGTTTGGAAGACTCAGAAAATATTGGTAATGAGAGCTTTCCTAGCAAAAGTCCTCTGTACGCTTGGCAACCTTAAAATATTCCTTTTCATATTGGATGCAGTCAGTTAGAATATGGGGATATGTTAGCTATGTTCAATTTTTCCCCAAAGCCAAAAACAAATGTCCTAGCATCACAGAGAACTGACCCCTTCTCAGTAACCACTCCCCACCCCCTTCCCCTGACTTCTTTCATTATATTTTAATGCTTCCTGGTGGAAAATTTGGTCAATTCCTTGCCTCAGATGTAATGCTGAAGATTATAATGGTTACAAAAAGAAGTGTTTAAACCAAAGTTCTTTTAAGGATAAGATTCTGAGATGTGAATCCCACACTGAGCTTTTTGAAAAGCAGGCATCTTTTGCTGACTGAAGGTGAATCATTCATTCATTCATTTATGAATCCATCCACCAAACCTGCATGGAGTGGCTTCCATGGGCTAGCATTGTGCCTCCAGGACTTCTCACCATCTTTAAAACTATTGGGCCATTTTCATATCATCTCATACAGGACAGCAGAGTAGGGGTTACTGTGACTCAAATCTGTGTATTCAATTACTTAAGATACTCAAGGCAGTATCCCTTGGCCAAAGCAGTTTGACCCTCAAAATCCCAGTGCCCCTACTTCTCAGCCTGAAACTGGTCAGAGGTATTATAGAAGTTTTTCCTGCTGCCGAGAGCCATCTTGCCTTCATATAATTTATTGAAGTTTTCACAAGAACTCATTATTTTTCTGATGGCTACACTAGATAACTTGGAGATGAGAGATGAACAAAACTTTCTTTTCTCTGTACCAGGAGCCACTGAAATGAAACAAAACAAATAAAGAAAACACATTGCCCAACTCCCTCCATTCCTAAGCACGTGGTTTCTTTGTAGAGAGCTAGATTTCCAGGATTCAAAATCCAGGACCGCTGCTTCTAGTGCTGTGAACTGGGACAAGGGCCTTAACCTTCCTGTGCCCTAGTTTCACATTTCTAAGATAGAGATGAAGCCAATAATACTAATGCCTAAGAGACCTTCCTTTGTAGAGATTAAATATGTTAATTCATGTATCGTGCTTAGGAGAATACCTAGACGTCCTAGAGGTAAACGTTAGCTACTGATACCATTTATTTATCTCCGAGTCAGCATATTACTCAACCTCAGCAATGTTCAGTGGGCACATGCAATTGCCGGGCACTGAACTCTGAATTTAATAATTCAGTGCTCCTAAAGGGAGTGGGAATACAGTCAGTCAATGGGCAAGAAAAAGAGACAAACATGTATTAGTCCAATAAAAGAAGTGGGAGAAAAAATATCAAAGCGTTCAACACAGACTGAAGAAGCACACTGGTCTTTCCTTCTCCCACGGACAAGGGCTTGATTTTTGGAATCACAGTTGTCCCACTTTCAATCTTTCTCCTTGAGGCTCCTTGACTCCTTTTAAATTAATAAATGAACATTCTCCAGCTCTGCAACGTCATGAATCAACCAAAAGATCAAGTTTATGGACAATTCTATAGTAACGCCCTCAAAATCAAAGCATTGTTCTTTCTGGTAAAAAATGGAAATCATTAAAAAGAATTCCACAACAAGCTCAGATGCCAGCCTATGCCATTTGAGGTTCTGAGGATTCAAACTCTGTAATCAACAGAGAAAGATCTTTTCTGAAGATAGCAAAGAGAGCAAAAAAGCACCAGTGTTAGCGTAAGAACTGTTCATGTCTCTTTTATGCTACTTCCTTCTAAAAAGCTGTGCCTCTTTATGTGAGGCACTTACCCTCTCTGAACTTCAGTTTCTTTCTCTGTTCAACAAGGTATGATACCTATTCTGCTTATCTTAAAGGGCCATTGAGAGGCTCAAAAGAGACAACGAATGTAGAAGTATGGTTTTAATGCAGAATTCTGTTATTAAGTTAATAATAGTGTTAATGCCATTAAAAGCAAAGGCAAAAACAGCAGTTACTTTTGCACCAAGCTAGTATTATTATGATAATTGTGATTTTACAATGAGTACAAGATTTTCTACGTTCTCCATAGGAACTATTCCAGCTGGATCCATTGTGTCACACAGAGAAAAACATAAGCTTTCTTCTTAGCTACAGAACCAGATAGAATGTTGGACTGAACATAAAAGGATTCTTCTGTTGGCTCACTACCTATCTTTATAATGTGCTTTGAGCTCCTTGAGATCTACTTTGGATAAAATAGCTGCATGTGAGTGCAGCTATTTTTATCAGGGGTTGATTTGCTCATTATGATCAGGGCCGATCTGCT